ATAAACTCGTTTTGAGACATCACGATGAGAATGGATACAAAAGCAGTACATCCCCAAACGATATTTCTTAATGTCTCTTGTTGAGGCACACCAAATGTACCTGAAGGAGCACAAAGACCGATGAACTCAATCCCCGAAATTTCGTTATCAACGCTTCTGTGATTTCACCAAGTTGCGAGCAATGGACAAGTCAACCACTTCAGAAAAAAGTAATGGAATGGGATCTGCAACAAAGTTTTCAACATCTAAAGGATCAGCTACGTTATTTTCTGAAACACTCGTATGTAAAGCGAGCGCATGCAAAATTTTTTGAAGACACCATCGCCAACGTCGATGGAGAACAAATTCAACTGCAAGTTGACTTTGCTGAGAATTACGCTCTAAAACAACAAAATGAAAAACAAAGTGTGCATTGGTGTCACCAGCAATGCACAGTTTTTACTGCTTATGCTTGAATGTTCGCTGAGGAAGCGCAGAGTTTCGCGTTAGTTTCGGACGAATTGACGCATGGCGAAATCAGCGCTTATAAATTCATCGATCGCCTACTTGAACTGATTACCGAAAAATACTATGGAGTGGCTGCAGTAAAAATATTTTTAGTCGGAGCCGCTAGCCAATTCAAGCAAAAGTACCTTTTTTGAACCTGCATGTTTTCGAAGCGCGCTACGAAATTAAGCTATCTTGGCAATTTTTTGCATCAGGTCACGAAAAAGGGGTAGTTGATGCCATTGGAGGAACAATCAAAGGCTCGGTGTGGAAGCGAGCAAAAAGCAGAGCTGTCGTAAATACTGCTGAAGAATTCACATCTATAGGTTAAGAAGCATGCCCGAAGATTCACGTTGAGTTTCTGAGCAAAGCAGACATTGATGTCAATTACGCAGATCTCGAAGAACACTGGAAAGATAATTTATGGTGTTTTCCCTCGCTCCTTACTGTAGTTGCCGAAGAATCTAATGTGCATAAAGACGGGCGCATCGCTGTCCGCATGAAGTAATGAAGTTCACGTGTATGCATATTTTGCGTAGGTACTTTTTTCGATTTCAGTAATTTCAGTTGAAATCGCTTCGTTTTTACATTCATATTGACAGGTTGTAACAATTTGTATCGTTAATTATAAGTATTATTCAGCAATTCTAGTAATACATTTATTTAAACAAACGTTTTCTCTTCTTTTTTATATATTCCCCAACAATTGAATCTAATTAACGGGTACGAATATGATTTAGTGTTTTTGAATACCGTGATTATAATGTTGAATGAGTATGTCTGTACGTTACGAGACCTTGTTCGTACGTAACATTTTTATTTTGTTAATAGTATCGTGATCTCAGTACTTTGGACAACCCAAAACCACGTAGAAAGCAAGAAAATTTGATTTGAGTCCCAAAGGTTAACACAGGGAATACAAAATGCGTGTCTTCGGTGTCCTTACGTTACGCTTTGTATACTGGTACTTAAATTTTCTTTTGAAAAAGTATTTTTACTGCTCACATGAGCCTATTTCATGGGAAATTAACTATTCTTTCAGATTGCGTCAAGCGTTTTTGTATTAAACTTAAATAAGTAATAGTAATTTGAACATTTATGCGGTAAAATGTTTCCGAATGTCCGTACGTTACGCGTGGAAATGCTCAAATACGTATATTGTATGTAAATATATTGTATATTTTTGTTTTACATTAGTTTCGACATAAAAAACGTAGTGTCGCAGTTTATTGAATAGGTTTCATGTAGACGAGGGGTATACCATTGATTTTCATAAATAAAAAATCGCACACGAATAACGGCTAAGGAAAAAAATCACAATGGTAATCATACTTCTTATTCAAAAAAAAAATTTTCTTATCGGTAAGGATTTTTTCAAAAAATTTGGGGCTGTTTTTGCACCTTAACCACCCCTCGAATTTTACGCCCAAGATTTAATTTTAGATCTAGATTTATCATGTTAAAATTACCAATGTATTAAAAATTAATTTTGGAAATACTTCTTAAAAAATCATTCATTATTCTCCTTTGAGGGTGGCGTAACTCCGTCAAGGAGCATTTTTCGATACATGTTTATTAAACAAACTATTTTGTTTCTATGCAGATTGTCACTGTTTTATTTTGGCCCCCTAATTTCCAGACACCCTGTATAACGCTAAACGTTGTCTTGCTGATTTTAGAGTGGTTTACCCCTCGCATGTAGGCTAATGTAATAAACGATGGTACCGTTTAGTTTAATATTTTCCATATCTTGCATGAGCAAAACTATTCAATTATACATTGCTTAAGCAATTATCTATGTATATTATCTATGTATAGAAAACAAGTGTTTTAAATAAGCTAAGCAATTCCTTGCTTGATTATTAAAAAATATAGAGCGTATAAAGACGTTTTTCTACTAAATTATCATAAAATAACCTATTCTTGAGACAACCACTCCTCTGGTATGCCATCAGGAAAAGCAGCGACTTTATGATAACTTTTTTCGCTGAGAATATTATGACGTATTCGAAAACGTTGTATCCACGAAGAAGAACAATTGAAGCCCTCTATACCGAAGAGTCGCGCAAAATCATTAGCTTTTTCCCTAAGAGTTTTAACATTAATCGGCAAATTTTTAGTTCTGTACGATTCAGACCAGTTCAGCAAGGCTTCTTCGATATTTTTATGTTGCGATGATCGCGCTCGTTTAGTTTCAAATGATTTTTTTTCGAAAAGGGTCTTTATTTTTTCTTTGTCCTTCCTCATTGTTGAAATTGTTGAGCTTGATACGCCGAATTCCTTCGCTATACTCGAATTCGTTTCACCATTTTCCAATCTCCATATTATGTCATTTTTCTCTTTAATATTAAACACTTTTCTTTTTCTTTTGGATAAAAGAGGTCGGAAACCTGTTCGGAAAGTAAAAGTAGACGTAAACAATGGGTCTCATTGTTCCCTTTGAAGGGTTTAGAATGTAACATAATATAACTCAACTTTTCTAGTGATATTTTAATTTTAAAAATTTAAAGATATACTAAACTAAGTTATTTTTTTACTGGTATACTCCTTAAAAATTAAATCTATCTTTATGATTTATCCACACACAGATGCTCTCGAGGCATCTCGTGGATTATTATGTTTATTGAAATTTTATTTGTAACTGTTTTAATATTAAGATTTTAAATAACTTTTTCAATAAACGTTATAATTATTATTATTATCATATTATTTAAAAAATATTTACACTGGCGAGCAATGAAATCGGGTCATTTGGCGTTTTTCATTATAAATTTAATTTATTTGAGAAAGTATTGGATTGAAACTTGCAATATTGTTCTTTATAACGATGTATTGTACTTTTTAATCACACAGTTGGTTTTTAAACACATGAAATTATAATAAGAAATGCTAGTGTAAAAAACTTTTTGAATTTTGTAAATGGGCTTTTTAAATTAATTTGCTTTTTTAGCCATCTTGGTTTAAAAATTAAACTTTTAGTAATTTGTTATAATTTATCAGCGCGCTGCAACGCCCTATTTAATACGATTCCAGCTTGAACAAGGCCCTAAAGCCTCCGGCAATGGAAATTATCTGATCTAAATATGGGAATTTGGTTAAAACAATGTAAAAAGATACGAGATACGAGTAATGAATAGAAAACTTTCTTTATCATATGATTTTACAAAATTATGTTGTCTACATTTGACAATGCTATGAACTGCATTACAGAAATAACTTTATCAAACTCAAATGTTGAAGCCACCACAAAAAATCGGGCCCTGTCATTTAGGCTATTATTCTTGTAAAAAAAATGACTCTTGTAAAACAACTTGTAAAAAAAGTCGACTTATCGTTCAATCGTTCTTACATTATTCATATACATATTTGTAGGTGAAACCAAATATGAAACTTTTTTTATTTCATCAAACAAGTTTAGGCATAATAAGACACATACTTCCAATTTAACAGCCTTTATTAAACAAAACAAAAGTCTATTCCATGATTCTCCTAGCGATGGCTCTCCATCTACGCATAGAAGGAGATATTCTAGCAAATGGGCACATTAAACCTCCTTCTGGATACCTGTAATTTAAAACGTCCAAAATACCCCTATATACCACGTATCGATTTTCCTAATCAACTGCGCATGCGCAAAGAAAATTATTCTTTTATTACCCCCGACACAGGCTGGCGGTTTCATGGTAAAAATTGAATATGCTTTCAAGCCCTTCATTACATTTAAGCAATTATAAAATATTAATACCACCACGTAATATAAATAAATTATTTATCACAATTTATCAAGATAACTATACAAAGCATTCTTTAAAACAAAAAATGAACTTTTTTTAACAAGGAATTTAATAACAGTTAGAAGTACAAATAAATTGTTTTTAAAAGTCTATTCCATGATTCTCCTAGCGATGGCTCTCCATCTACGCATAGAAGGAGATATTCTAGCATATGGGCACATTAAACCTCCTTCTGGATACCTGTAATTTAAAACGTCCAAAATACCCCCATATACCACGTATTGATTTTCCAAATCAACTGCGCATGCGCAAAGAAAGTTATTCTTTTATTACCCCCGACACAGGCTCTTTAAAATATTAATACCACCACGTGCATTATGTCAAAAGATTGATAGATATAGCTAACTTTATTTGCTTAATATTAATAAATTAAAATTAATTACAATTTATCAAGATTACTATACTAAGCATTCTTTAAAACAAAACAATTAACTTTTTTTAAGAAGGAATTTGATAATAGAAGTACAAATAAATTGTTTTTAATCCAATACTATTAATATCCCAGATAAAATAAGTGTCCCAGACAACAATTATTTAACTTAACCCCTGGGGGGTTGTATTGAAGTAAATTAAGTTTATTTTTTATTCTTTTGTACTTATTTTATATTTTATACATATTTTTTTGAATTATTTTTTTAAGAATTTAATTTTGATATATTAAATACCATATTTATATACATACCTTAATAGCTCAAAAATAATTTAAATGGATATACTTACAAAATAGCCATGTTCTCATAGATGTCTTTAAGCGGTCTTGAGGGCTGATTAAAAACTAAACTCTTAATCTCCCTCATAAATAGAGAACGTACAGAGGCAGTGTGCTGTGGAGGATGGTTATGATCCCTTTTTAAAATCAAGTCGTCGGTTGTACCGTCTATCGGCAAAATCGCCCTAGCCTTGCAAATGAGCCGCTTATACTCTGAGCAAACTAGGTATCTGTAATTTTTAAGTGACGCTCTTAACTGTCTATTGATAATATGAATACAAAGAAATTTGCGCGTTATTTGGTTGTAATCAAATTAAAAATAGTTCAGAAATAGTTTTGGGTACCAAATTATTATTACCTCATTTTACAATCTTCCTTTTTCTTTGTGTTTAAGTGGTAAGTAAAACCATCGACCACTATGCCCGAATTATAATACTTCCTTTTCATGCTATATTTAAACTCTTCAATAAAATCTAACAATAAAATATTGGTGAGTATTTAGACTAAGTTGGCGCGATTTCACGTCATGGTAGGTTAGGACAATTATAAAGGATATATAAAAAAACGTAGGTATTACCAAACCATACATACCTTTAAGTATTTGTTTAAGGAAATAAAAAAGCAGTAAGTTCAACAGTGACCTGCTGAAATTAAAGTAATTTTATTGAGTCTAAATTAAAGTAAAATACCTAAATGGCATTACAATAATGAAGACTTATAATAAGCAACAAAAATTAAATGTGAAATTATCACTAAAAATTGCACTAAAATCTCAAAGTACACACTGCAGTAAAACATTAGTTGCGTTATGGATCTTATGATTCATAATTTGTACGAAAATAACTTACCATGGATTTTGTATAATTTGTATTTAAAAATAACACACACATTGTAATGCTTAAACTGGATTTAAACCATGAAATTCATGGTTTAAAACCAGTTTTTACATGAATTGAAAATGTTTAAGAAACCTAACATATTTTGTCAAAGTGGCTATTTTGTGTGGCTTGTGCAACAAAAAATGCCTTGATTTGACAAAAAAAACCCAAAATGTAGTTTTGATTATCCTATTAATTAATTATTAAACGAATAATAAAACAATTAAATACATTGGTTTTAACAAAATTCTCAACATAAACTAAAATTGAAAAAGTAATCCTATTTTACAACTGTAAAACACATTTGTAGGGAGTTAAATTGTTCAATTTCAAAGAATGTTTTTTTAACTCATAAATATTTTGCAAGTTTCCATAAATTGAATACAAATCTATGGATATCAAATAGCAATAAATAATTATGAATTAAACGATACTTAAAAAACCAATGTATACTATTGGGCGAAAATATGCTAATCAATAACTTAACTAAATAACATATTTAACACTTCACATGTAGTTAGATAATTATTGACTTTTAATTGTTTTTTAGGGTTTTATAATAACATAAATTAACAAAGATTTTTTGCAATGTTAATGTAATTCCAAAAAAATGCATATTTTTGTAAGGGGTTTGACAATGGAAATCCATCATTAAACAAGATTAACAAAAAACACATTTTATGGATATTATTCTTACTTTAAATGAGTAAAACAATTAATCAAGAAATGAGTCCTATAGAATTAAAAGCAAACATGTCCTCTGCGGTGCTAAGCACAAATGTGCTAACTACAATATTAAATTATACAGTAGTTATCACCTTTTTGGTTAGCGCGACAAAGGACATGTCTACAGTACTTAAATTTCTTGATAATATTAGTTCCCATTAAAACTGATGTTGAACTCTTAACTGTATTTAAATTTTGATCCATTTGCATTGAATATGCACTAAAACACGTTTACACATGTATACAAATACAACAAAAATTTAAAATTGCCAACACGGCAATTTTATTTGGGTATAATCCGCAGAACTGAATGCGTCAAATTAAATCTGTCGCATGCTAGCATATATATACAAATATAATGTTTTACGTTTATGGTTTAGGCCAGTCGTATTTTATATAAGTATAAAATAAAATTAGCATACGCCGTTAACATAAAAACAAAACATTTTGCGAATCCCTGAATACGCAATATTTTAAGCGCTTTTACAAAGGATTTAAAAAGTCTAAAACATTAAACTATTTATCTGGTATTTATTTTAAAGTATTATGATTATTTTATATTCTATACTTTTTATATCCTTATACACAAATAAAATGTTAACAACAAATGTTGTAAACATTTAATAATTAAATATTTGGCCTACAATGGCGTAAAATCGCAAATAACATAAAACAATATTGACACAGCTAAATATTCTCTGTAAATTTTAATATTAAAAAAAGGATTTTAACACTGAGAATTTCCATTTAACTGTGTTAATTTAAATTTTGGCATAAGATACAATTATAAAAAATACATGTGCGCTTAAAAAAGCTGAAGTAAAACTCCTTTTGGACAATTAAATTAAATTCATCTTTTGTTTTTTTTAATCGATAATCATTATGTATATTACATAATATATCCGATATATATCAAGTGATATAGGTATATCTGTGAACCCTGCTAAACAATATAACTTAGATTTTTATTTGTTTGATTCATTAAAATCATTTTCTTCAGTTACATCAATACAATAATTGTGACATTTGGTTCCAGAGAATAAGAAATTGCCTTATAATAGGAATATTTTTTAAAATGTTGATCATTTAAAAAATTTGTCCTAACATTTTTTAAATGTATGGTACTGTGCGAATTTAAATAAGGCTCAGCCATGTGCGCGCGCCGTTTCAGTTTCATCTTTCGTAACGCCCAAGTCATGGTTTACCACGTCCGCAAAAAAGTTTGACTTTAAAAATTTTATTAATATATTATTTATTATCACTTAACAGGCTACATTCATAAAATGATTGCCCAATAGATATATGTATTATGAACAAAAGTCCAATATTACTTTATAAACCAGACATAATATAACTTATGTATATAAACGAAGTATAATTTACATATTGCATAAAATAACACAATAATAATTGAATATCAAATACATGCATATAACATAATTGTATCTTACGCAAAAAACACTGAGGATTGGAAAAATAAAAGACACCTACCTTGTCCTTCTCCTGCCACTTCCGTGCTAGTTCCGGCCTGGGGCTCTTCTTCGCCCCCTTCCATCATGTTATAATCCTCAGTGTCGTCCATTGTAGTTTCGTCTAAAGTGTGGTCGTCGCCAAAAGTGTCATCCGCAGCATCGTCAGCCAAATTAATAGTTTGGCTTTGATCGTATGGTTCCATTTTAAATTGTACCATTTGATCTGTGGTGCTACTACTGCTTGGGGTCAAAACCGATGAGATCGGTTCGGTTTTTGTTATTGGTGGAGGCGTCGGTTGAGAATCGGAAGTTAGTCGTTGTCGTTTTGGGGCTGGTTGCACCACCGGCGAAGACTGCATGATTTTTCTTTGCTTTTGTACAGGGGGTTTGTATTCTTGGACAACAGATTGCGGGCTAGGAGATGGTATAGCCGGGGACGGTTTTTCAACCGTTTCACCGTCATTGTCATTTGAACCCTGAAAAAATATTAATATTTGTTTATATTTTACTTTTTTATTTTGCATTTCATTCGTATGTGGTTTACTTTAGACAAATTAGACGGTTTTTTGGGCATTTAAAAATTTAGTGGAGAATTTAACAATTTTATTTTAAAGCTTTTTTTTCACCAATACAAATTTAAGGGGTTTTGATACTAAGGGATTCATATCGATGACTTTTTGCCAAAGTATCGCAAGTAACATAACCCAAATTTCGGAAATTGAAAACATTTTGCTTGTCTGTTTTAAATTAAATATAGCCTAAAGGTTTTATAATAAGTAATTACTTAGCTTATAATTATAATTATAAGCTATAATTATAAGCTATAATTATAGCTATTTACTTGTTATAAAACCTGTAGGTTATATTTGGTTTAAAACAGACTTTAAAACAAAAATGTTTTCAATTCCCGAAATTTGAGTTATGTTGCTTGCGATACTTTGGCAGAAAGTCATCGATATGTTCTTTGTCAAATTAACATTTGGCATTTAATATATGTTCTCTGTCAAATTGCGTTTGATATTTAATATTTAATACGCCGTGGGCTGGGCTCCGCTCGATGAAAAATGTGAAACATAGCTGACTTTGCGAACCGGGAGGTACAAAATTGGATTACCGGTTTAGAAATATACCTGTATTTTTTAACAATATCGCAAGCTTTGACCTTTTAGCGAGGTATTTTGTGATTTGTATAAATGATTGTTTCAAGATTGAAATTTCCACATTGTCAAATGGCGGAGGTAGCTTGCTAAAGCCTTGAGACACGGCGTTCTCTAACGCCGTGCTTGAGACGTTAAAACTGGTACCTGGTCAGTAAGAGACCGTATGGAGTCAAGACCAGTTCTCCACACTGAGAACGAATAAGTAGAAAGAAGAAGTAATGTCTATGCTTGGTTCAGAAATTAATAACGCAATGTAAAACATTCGCCGATTTGAATATAATAATTTGGAACAAGTTTTTTTAATTAAAAAACTTGGGGGGTTTAGATGGCAAATTCTAGGGACCCTAAATTTATAATTGGCTACATTGAAGAAAATAAAATTATTTAGTGGATTTATGCAGCACAAATTAATTATTTCATCAAAATGCTGTTTTGTTTTTCAAGTCTTTCTATACACTAAGGAGTGTTATAATATAAAAATTGTGCCTACTCTTTACAACAGACAGTCCTTTGATTGTAGTTGCATTCTGTTTAGTTACATCAGTTTACTTTTTATTTTGTTATATTTGAGGAGGTGCATTCCAAAACTCTGCTTATCCATATTAGGTGATTTTGAGCAAAATGTCAAAAACCTTACACGTGAGTACTAACGCATATCAGGCCAACAAAATACATTAAACAAAATATATAGGCATAAGTATAACATTTATATACCTTGATTAAAAAGGTAATAATAATAATAAAAAAATAAAATTTAAAATAATTTAAAATTAGGTACATACGTATAGGCCAGTTCTGACATTATACCTATAGATAAGGCAAGTTTTGGAACAATAGTCAATTAGTAAATGAATTTGAAATGAAATAAGGTGAGTTTTAGGATATTATGACCTTTTCAGGGTATAGGGGGCTACACGTTAAATGTACAGACACCACTAACTCATTTTTATTAAAAAGTGGATAAGCAGAGTTTTGGAATGGACCTCCTCATTTCTTAATGCATGCTATTGGATTAAAAAGTGCTAGCGCCAACTCTTGTCGTAAAAAAGAACACATTTTCAAGTGTCAGAGATCATATTTTAGCTGAAAAAATCTTTACCAGAGAGCTAATTATATGAGTAATTATCTTTATTTTTCTAATTCAGGTTATAAGGTTTTTTGGTTTAATTATTTTATTAAACTCCCTTAACTGCTCCATGACAACCTTAAGTTTTTAAGGGTATGTGGACAGGGGAGTTTTGGTCGAATATGTTTGGTATCCATGTAAGTTTTTTCACATGCTACATTGATATGGAACATAATCGACCAAAACCTTCTTGTTCATCAAAAGAGCAACTAACTCATTGCTTATATTTTAAAAGTTTTTAATTTTCAATACTGTAAACAAGGGTGGCTTTAACCTTTTTATGAAAAATCTTTTCGCGCTTGATAAAATTAACATTTATAATTTTTTGGTCTAGACCTGTCAATTGAGCGATTCTATTGAGTTTATATTACAGGAAAATCAGTGTTTTAAAGAAATAAATGGGATTTATTACACTTTAAAATTGTTTATATTGCATCAGTGCAGAACTCTTAGAAATACACATGGTACAATTTCAGGCGCAACCTTTGGAATGATGATCCTTGGTTTTAATTTTTTTTATCGGTAATCCCTTTCAATCTCTATAGGTATGTTGCTGCTAACATGTGTCTAATAAATATAAAATATCGAGTTAATTTTAAACTGTGAGACAAAGTTACCCACAACCAGGGGGTAACTTTGCACACCCAGTTTTTAATTTTTATTTTTGAAACTCAGCCCTACATAATATTATAACACAGTTATTATGAAAGAGCAACTCAAGACTCAAATTTTGGTATAAAATATTTAAAACCACAAAAATTTTAAGCTTAAGTTTGAAAGTGAGCTAAAGCCACCCGTGTTTACGGTACCAGTATGTTCACCTTCCTTTAATTTTAACAGACATTTTACATATAACAATAAAAAAACATTAAACATATAACAATAAAAAAACATTTTATAAATAACATTTAATAAACTTTGCAATTTACCTACTGAGTAAACGATTTAAGGCACTGAAGGTGCTTGCACAACTGCATTCATATTACAATAATGTGTTAGAGAGAGAGAAGAAATAAATCCAAAAGAGATGGAACTAGAAGCCATTTAATGGCATCATGCAACAAAAGACGCCATGAAAATAATAATTTAACAAAAAACTTACATTATTATCACCGGTGAGTCCCTTGATTTGTAAGGCCTCTGCAGTCTTGATGAACGCCGTTAAACTATCTTGACTAACTTGCACCTCTCCTTGGTACATGAATTGCAGTAAATCACTTAATGCTACATAACTAACGTCTTTCATAAACACTATTGGGTGTTTACAGGGATTCACTTTGAAAAGTTCCTTGAAATAGGGACTACAAACCGACAAAACTATCTTATGGGCCTTCAAATATTTGCCTTCGACGGCCAACGTTACATCCACTAAGTCTTCATTCTCTAACAATGAATTCATTCCTGAACTCATATTATTATGAAAATTATCCCAATGAAGGGAAAATTGATCCGACGCCATGGCCGGGGCTGTAAAACACAAAAGAAAATCAAAATTCTTGTTTCTAGAAAAGCAGGTTCATGGTGACGCCAACATGGCTGCGTCCTGTATAAAATTTCATCGCCAATTTAAGAAAAAAGTACAATAGTATCATTAATAACTTACAGTTCTGAAGACTTCTTGACTATTAAATAAAGTAACAAACTTCACAAGGGACAGCTATGAAAAGAACTTTCCACAATTTTTTAATATTTTTGGAAACTAACAAACCGACGCCATCTCATTTAAGCACTTCGGCGTAGATTGATTTTACAACGTTGCCAAAGTTCTATATCCCGTTTAAGATTTGGGTAGCTCGTACCGCACAGTGATTCAGTTTGCCAATTTTTTATAGGTATGCAACTATAGTTGCAAAATTTATTCTGTTCACCACAGTCAAAGTTTTTCCATAGGTAGTTTTTAAATGTCGAGTTTATTCTAAAACATATTTATCTAAAACCCTTTTTATCGTTTTTGTTGAAAACACTATCTTTCACAAAAACCTTTTCAAAATATTAACAATAATTAAAATATTTTAGAAAGTATACCTAGGTCTTCTATGTGTACCTTATGCTATTATAGTTATCGCGGCCATTATAAAAAAATATGGTAATCGTAGGTACCTATAGTTATTATAAATTATAACTCAAATTATTGGTAGGTATTTTACAGAGATCTCTGGTATTTTATAAATAGGTAGTAGGTATGAGTTCGATTTTATCCTTCATCGTTAGTACATCGCTCCATGAAAAAGTCTGAAAATAGTTGACTTTGACCCAGGAAGGATAAAATGGGGTTCCCGGTATAGAAATATACCGGTATTTCTCGACAATATCGCAAGCTTTGTCCTTTCAGCGAGGAATTTTGTGATTTGTGCAATCGATTTAGTGGATGTTTCAAGATTTGAAATTCCACATGTCCGTGAGTGGATGGCTTCGTGAAACTCAAGGACGGTAAAAACTTGTTGCTGGTCAAAATGGTACATTGATTCCAAGACCATTAAGGCGTTGAGCCACCAAGGAAGAAGAAGAAGAAGTAGAAGGTATGCACAGGGACGTTCCTGGCGAGCGTGCAGTGCGTGCACACACGCAGGCGCAAGATTTTGGGGGCGCAAAATCAAAGAGTCAATCATTACTTTGTAACGATAAACTTGCAAATAAACAAATAATTAAACAAACATAGGAAAACGGTTACCGCCTTTCTTTGCGTCGGACGCATTAAGGCCCTACGCCGCTCTTTTTTTGGGACGCTTTGATATGCGCCTTAATTTTCTTATATGAGTATCAAAATAAAAGGAGAGAAATTGTCATAATGTTTTTAGTATTTGTTTGATAGTTGCAGTTGACGGTAGCAAAGTTTAACAGTTGTCTACACAGTGCATGACTTGGTAACGAGCTTATAAGCTTATTATGTAAATTGTCCCCTGAATCCGAAAAGACCTTAAAAAATTATGTAAGTAGAGCAGTTTTTGAAATACATTTAATTCTATATTATATGAAAAATTGACTATTCTTAACTTTTATAACTTTTGACGACATTTTCGCATTTAGCGGACAATTTTACATAGCAGTTGACTGCTAAATGTCCGGGATACAAATTGCTGTTCACGATAATTATTATTTATTTTTAGAGAGTATACTCTCTAAAAATGAATAATAATAAATCGTTTTTTTAAATTATTTGAGAACCGCTGACTTTTTTCGATTTTTAATTCTATTTTTAATAGACTTCTGATTACGCAATTTAGAGGAAAGTTGCGTAATCAATGGTGGTGCCATACTTAGTATGGCACCACCATGAGCTGGCCAAATAGCTTTCAAATTAGGTAAAGGCCAAAAAATTTTGAAGAAGAAGTATTGCACCAAGATTAAATATATATATATATATATAAAGAGTATATTTAATCTTTGGCCATAGTCCCTGGCCCATTCTATCTCCAAAAACAATGCCCATAGATTAGTAGATAGAGCACCGTGCACCCGTAATAACCCAGTAAACATTTGTGATATCACGAAAAAGTCAAGACGTGACATGTCACAACTTGATATCCAATTGCTGGCACAGTGATTAAGTTTGTCGTTTTATGTCAGCAGTGACACGCGCGTGATCTTTTTATGTCATGACGTGACCCCGCAGGGACGAAACTTTTCATTTAAATGACATTACTTTAATTTGGTCATAAAACGTTAATTACGTACCTATTATGTTATTATTGTTATACACGTTATAGGTTAATGCTTTTAAACAATTATTTCCCCAAAAATATATAACTTCACTTTATATTTGTTTGCGATTTTGCAATCGAAGAAAAAATTAAATTCGTTTCCGTTTTATTTTTAATCTATAAATAATAATAAACTTAAAAAAAGCAGTATATACTATAATCTAATATAATATATGATATCATAATCAAAAATTTTATTTTAAATAACTATTTGGGATGTTTCAGCGCCGCCTCTGGATTAACTAAATTTAATTTACATTAAATTAAGCCCTTTGCCTACTACTAAAAACCTAAAAGGTTTTATCAAATTCGCCCAAAAAATAAATATTTTTTTTAATAACTTTACCACCGGGCCCTGCCTCTCGAAAACGAAGCTTTAAAACATAAATACTTTTCTTCTGATATTTTCGATTTCTATAGATCACTAATTTTTCCCAATTAAAATCTGCGACACCCTGGATACATGTAGGTATTATACTTATAGGATACTTGATGCACCCTGTAAAAAGGTAGTGTGCAAAACTTGTCTTATTATTATTTTATTTAAATAAATGTTGACTGTTAATATTTTAGCCCATAATTTTATTTCACCCAAGGCCGCAAGTTTGTTGAAGCTGTGATATACGATAAGAGGGTCGTCGCTATTGTTACTAGCGATGCAACGTGTTTTAAAAGACGTTGCATCGCAATTAACGATAGCGACGACGCTTTTTTCGTTTATCAGAGCTCCAACATGTTTTAAATATTCCCCTGCACTTTCGCTCGCGCATGCGCGCTAGCAATGTCACGGAGTGATATCCCATTGAGTGCGTATTGCGCTTGAATGTCACGACTTGATATCCCATTGATTGTGCATTGTGGAAACATATGAATGCGTCAGTGATATCACGATGTCAAGACGAGATTTCGGAGTGATTTCAATACGCAATCACAAATGTTTACTGGGAAATAACAATTCCTATTTTTACAAATACCCTATAGCTAATAATGTTTGTGATATTTTATATATTATATTTATTTATATTTATTAAAAAACCTTAAATTATGGTTTAATAATTGTATTATACAATTTGTATACCTTTAATGAAAAACCTTAAGTAAACTTGACAACGTTGTCAATATATAAAAGGCGGAAATCAACGCTTGCCATACCAACAGTACGCAACAAAAATCAATATTAAATTTGCCCTATTTCGTTTTAAAAATCTAATATTTGCCATGAACATTTACTAGATAAAATAAGATATATCTATGATTATTATTTGCATTGATACCGCCCCCCTATTTTATATAATAAAAAAAATAAAAAGTCTCTTATTTTTCTGTAGGGTGGCCCTACCGTTTATTGATCCGTAAATTTTTGACGCAGACTCATTGGATAATAAACAGAAATGGCCTCCTCGATGCAAATACTTGTTTTCCCGCTAAACGAAGTTGATTTAGGGAAGCCAAACAATCGAAAAATTTTTAAACATGGATAAACTGGATCGTTTTCAAAAGTTGGGCACGGCTGGAGAGGGAACTTACGGTGTGGTCTATAAGGCAAAAAACAAGTTAACTGGAAAGAATGTAGCACTCAAGAGAATAAAATTAGAAAAGTAGGTGATTTATAAAATTTATGATGTTTTAAGTACTCTTAAGTAGAGCGAAGTTTAGGTGTATTTTAAGTTAAATGCTGGGGAATGTAAGTTGGATCAGTGTGTGTTTTACGTATATTTAATCGTAGCACCACATGATTCAGCTTATATTTCTTAGATTATTCATCTACCTATATGTGTTAGTATTTATATTCTGTGCTATATATATATTATAAGATGTGTTTACATACATTTTAAAAATACTTGGTATAGATGGTGTTGGATAAATAGTCAATTACTGACAGTACTGCAACTTTAGGGGTGGTAATGTCATCTTCCGATCTTGGTTTCTTTTTCACACAGGGAATTGTAAGTTAAATAGTAAATAAACCCCCCGTAATTTGAACGCCTTAGCACAAACCTTAATTTCTATTAAAACTGTCAGGCACTTAACTTTAAATAAAGATAAATAAAAAAACTTTTAAAAGGAACTTTGATGTATAGAGCATAGCACAAATTCTAGTCATATTAAAGAATTTGTGCTATGCTCTATACATCAAAGTTCCACCACATGACATTGTCATAAATATTTAAGGTAAATTTTCTGTTTTTGTCAAGATAATTTTGTATTATTTTCTAAATATAATATATTATACATAGTATATGTATTTTTTGTGTTCTAAATGAACACCTTGAGACACAAAAAATACATGTAAGTATTGAATTTCTATTTCTATTTTGAATTTTTATCAAAGTCATGTGGTGGGACATTTCCTACCTACATACGTATATATTTTCAATTGAGAAAGTGGCTCAGTTTTAAAATGTGGAAAAAATTAATCTTTCTCCACGTTTACTGTCCAATGAGACAACAAGATTTTAATTTTTTCCACTACCCTGATAATTATAAGGTGATTCATTATTTTCTTAAAAATTAATAGAGACTGACATTTGTCATTGAATCTGTGGTTATGGTAATCACAAAATTTTACTACATTCTTCAACCCTGAAATTAGAAAAAGTATAGTGAGAAATGGCCATTTTCATTCAGATGAATTACTTCACTTGCCTTTGGCTTGTGTCTCAATATTTGGCCAACTTTCTTAATTGTTGAAAAATATACTATTATAGCCCAGCATCTCCAAAACTATGGAAAAATAATGATCTGATCCTATTATAAATTGTAAAAGTACACTAACTAGGTACTTCCCTTTTCCTAACATCCTAAAAATTTGTAATATTAAAAAGGTTTATTATCAACTTATACAATTTTGCTGAATATATTATTAGGGGCTGTCCATAAAGTACAGGGCTCCCAGCAGGTAGTTTTTTTAAAGACTTGTCTATATTTTTGTCTTAAGTCTATAAAAGTCTATTTTTTTACCTAAAGTCTATAAAGTCTATATTTTCTGTTATAATCAACTATTAAAAAATATTTTTTTAAATATAAATATTTACAGTTTTATAAATATCGAAACCACAGTAAACCAAGTGAAACATTCGAAAACTTCGCAGTTTACATTTAAAGTTCCCGCCGTCCAGACCCGAACCGCCCGCCAAAATTATTGCTGAATTGTTTCTGGTTTGGTCTAGGGTTTCGTTTACGTTTATAGTTTCGGTTCGCTAGGTTAACACTACCTATATATGCATTTTTCATGAAATTAGTAAGTACCTAGTATCTATCAAAGAACATGTGACAAAGAATGTGTTCCTATTCTATGTTTTATCATCCATTCCATAACCCTAAAAAAATATGTTCAGACGATAGCAAAGGTAAGTGTATAACTATAGTTTTGATAATTAAAAATTATACATTTATATTATTTAATAAAAACAAAGTTTAAATGTACTTGTACTGACATAAAAAAAAATTAAATTGAACGATTAAGGAAGGGTGCAGAAAATAAAAAAAATTACTAAAATATGTATGGCTCAACTAATGTTTGAAGGAGTGAACCATCCCAAAAAAGAAGCGGTGAAGGTAACTTACAAGATTAGTCGTCTTGCCCAAGATTTAGAAAAACAAAAGGCGAAAATTATAGATCAGCTGCAGCCCACCAAAAAAATATAACACATTAAATGACTGATGCCAGTGCCTTTTATATAAATGTGATTCTATTTATTATAAGTTATAATTTATTTATTTAATTTAATATTTTTTTTGATATATATGTATTTTATAACAGTTATGGTTACTTGTTAAATTTAATTCAATAAAAATTTATAATTTCAAGTTATCTCTTTGTATTTTTATTATGAAATGAAATGACTTACACTTCTCTGCAGTTAATTTTATTTTTATTTTCAAAACTATACTAGTTTCGCCTGTTTTGGCATCATCAGTAGTTCACTGAAATACATGATTTGAATAAACATAATATTGTTAGGTTATATGAAATAAATATTACTTACACGTCAAATAATAATACAATTATACACATTATATATAAAACTAAACATTATACATAAAACATATTAGGCATAAATGTATAATGTTTAGTTTTATATATAATGTGTATAATTGTATTATTATTTGACGTGTAAGTAATATTTATTTCATATAACCTAACAATATTATGTTTATTCAAATCATGTATTTCAGTGAACTACTGATGATGCCAAAACAGGCGAAACTAGTATAGTTTTGAAAATAAAAATAAAATTAACTGCAGAGAAGTGTAAGTCATTTCAATTCATAATAAAAATATCATAATACTACTGCTTAAGAAAATGGAAAACATCATACAACAAATTATCTCTTTGTATTTTAAATTCAAATTTAGATCTTTTATCCCAAAAAAATGTATACCTCCATTTTATAGTTATTTCGGTAATTAAGTTGGTCTATATTTGGTCGTTTATTTTTTATTATTAGTCTCTTAAGTCACTATTTCTCGCAACATGGACTGCTGGGAGCCCTGATAAAGTATGAAAACATTTTTAGGGGATTTTAGACCTCCTAATGATTTTCCTTATTATTAAAATAAAAAAAAATTCTTAAATAATTGTTCATGAATTTTATGAATATGCTTCTGAATATGGAATCAGATCTGTATCCCAGCAATACAGGGCTGTTCAGATTTTTTTTAATGGAATGCACTATATTTTTTTGTACAGTTTAATACCTATATTGTTTTAAGGCAAATTCAAAAATATATAACACTTACACAGGGTGTCCTAGAAGTCGCGCACCACCTTAAAGGTGGATTATCTATAGACCCACAGGAATCCCAGAAAATTGTTAGAAAAATTCTTCATTATTTAGAAAAGATGAGAGTGTAAACATTAAGTTTTTAAACTATAAACCTATAGGTTTACCTTAAGGTACAGAATGTTCAATCAATGGTTTCATTAGGAATTAGGTATCGTTTCATCCATAGGGTATCATCTTACAAAAAAATGCATTTTAGGATTCTTACACTAACATTACTACTTATGAGTTTAGCAACATGATGTGCAACAATTGATTATCACAACAATTCGTTAATTGATTGTTACCTGTTGAAATTAGATTGTTATTAAGATGGTTATAGCATTTCTGTTAAATATTGATTGTACTTCTTTAGTGAGTAATGCTTAGTAACCCTGCTTAAAATACCCCATAGAGACCCTGTTCAAACCGATAGATATTTGTATCGGGATGTATGGTGTTTCTATAGGGTGTATCGGTTTGTATAGGACCCGTAGTTGAGATTTATGGTTGTTCTATAGGGATATCCACCATTGATTTATTTGCTATCGGTTTCAATGGGGAAAATACACATAAATGTAGAAATTAGTTTTTTCCCTATAGGACCCTATAGGTTTTAATAAAATTTTGTCAAATGTTTTATGGTTGCTCTATAGGGATATCCCTATATATCCTTCATTGAGTTATTTTCTATCGGTCTCAATAGGGAAAATGTAAAAGTTATGGTGTGCCTATAGGTAATTTCCTATACATTTTCTATCGGGCTGTATCCGGAAAAACCCATGGACAAATGCACATATAGAATCCGGTAGCGCCCGATAGATTATTTTGTATAGGTCTCTATGGGGTATTTTAAGCAGGGAAATGTAACCAATTTGACATTTTTTAATATATGAGTACATTAGAAGCAAAAGTCGGTTTTTGCAAATTTTTAAAAATATATATTTTATTGTATTTATGTACATTACTGCACTGCCTACAGCATACCTAAGTAAACCAGATGTATAAGTTAGTATTTGTAGAATAAAATACATTTAAAAACTTAACGCAGATGCAAAACTGGGTATTTGTTTCTTCCTGTCGGATGCAAAACTCCGTATTTGCTGTTGACCAATCACGTCTCTAGTATACGCATTACGTGACGACATAACAATCACCTGATTAATTGTTATAACAATCACCTGATTAATTTTTATTTTTGGTATTTGCACTTTTCACTTGCAAAACTTGGTCTTTGAACGTGGAAGATGCAAAACTATGTTTTTAAATCTTTTGATTACAATTATTTACTAAAATACCTAATTTTAAAGGATTTGTTTTTTACTTTTTTGAATAAAAATGATGCAAAAGCACGTCTATAAAATTTTTGCATTTTTTTTTCAAAAATGATCTTATGAGCGGTTTTTCATGTTTTTCACTTATCCTGCAAATACAGAGCTGTGCATCTAATGTACTCATATATAGTTGTCATCATGGAGCCTGTAAGCTCCATGGTTATGATGATTAAGAATGAATCTACATCTCAATTTATTATATTTTGCCATTTAAAAATATATGTAACTACCCCTGTATCTTTTTAAATAACGAAGGTAGATTTTTTTAACAATTTTTTTAGATTCCTGGGGGTCTGTAAATCATACACCTTCAAGGTGCACCCTGTCTATTTACTTCATAAATAACAATTATATAAGACATAATAAGCACATAATAAGTCTAGTAGATCTAGTTTAGAGGGGCATGAAGTAATGTTAAGGGGGGCCTGAGAGCACAGAAAAAAAAAATGTCCTAAGAAAAAATGTAGATTCCTAACAAAATTTGAAAAAGCTAATCC